GAAAGAACAAGAAATGCCACCAAAAAGCACAGAAGACAATTCTGTGATGTGATCAACATTTTTGGTGGCTCCCCTGAAACCCTTGAAATCATGGCTCTATTTTCATCATCACACCATCTTACACCTAAATCTACTGATGTAGTCCTAGTTCGGGCTGAAACGATAAAATCGTTCGCAGTTTACATCACGTACATGTACATGTTGGATTATTTTCATTAGTAACAACATTCCAAAAAATAACTGACGAGCTCCGCTTTTAGGCTTGGCTAAATCTATATATTATAGTAAACGTTTAGCTGAAATAGTAAACTTTAAAAAATTGTATCCTTAGAAAATGGGCAACAATCAGACTTTTACAAAACCTCATCCTGGAACATGCTGGTCAAGCGTGTTTGCGCCGTTTGGTCCCGTCAAAGAACCGCTGCCTATGTTGGCATGCTTGTTCGTCGCTGCCCTTGGTCTCTTTGGCATGTTGCTGTCCAGGAGAGTAACCTTGGGAGGCAAGTTTCTGTACTCTGCTATGTTCGGCTATGGCATCTCCAGTCGCTGCTTCCACTGGAATTTTTGGGAGGGCTTCTACCGTGTCTTTGACGTCCAGCTTAACTTCCTCCAGGCCATCAACATTGTTTACATGAGTTGCATCCCCAAAGAAGAACACTTATTTTACATGATATCCTCCTACGTGCTGATCATGTTCTTCTCTATCTACCCGTTCTTTGCTCATGTTTTGGGAATGACTTTAGGGCAGCCCTGGATCTCTTGGATCATATTTGATGGGATTCGGATTTTCGCTTTGATCGGTGGTGATAATTTGGTTCCAATGGGACCACTTGGGAACGCCAGGACACCCAAGTCGACAAGCAATGTTCAATTTAGTGTGGAACACCATCATCTCGGTGGTATTGGCGTACCTCTTCTGGATCCTTGATGAGGTGGTATGTATGAAACAAGGTAACCAAAGTGTCGCCGTTGTCATCTTTGGACACACTCTATGGCATGTGTTCATTGGGTTCGGCTTTTACTACATGACGACCCTTGCAGTCTTCTTACGAGCTCCAAACTTGCGTGTTTACCCTTAAGTCCTCGCCTGGCCCCAGAACAAGCCTTTCGTTGTTTTCGTTGTGGTGCAATACGACCCCAATCTGATGCTTAAGGAAACAAGACCAAAGAAGGAACACTAATTGTCTCAGTTTGTATTGTTATGGTTAGTGACCGATGTTTCTCTCGAGGTAACAATCCGTAGACGTTTTTAAAAAATGAAATCAGTGTAATGGTTTTTAGTCTAAATGCATAGTCCATGCAAGCTCGATTTATGATCAAGCCAATGGATTGAGGTCCTTAAGGAGTGAAGACGAATTAAGGTTTCTTGATCGAATGTGTCTTTGTATTTCCCACCACAGGTACATGTACGCAATGATGGTAAAGCATGCTGTACCCGTAATTCCTAGCGTGCTAGACATACAATAAGTGTTGGTTATTACTTAAAAACGTTCGGTCAATAATATATACATAACAAATGTAGGTTGAACTTCTCCAATTAAAAGCTGTTTATTCTGCAAAGTAAGCCATTACCGTAAAGGCATTATTTTTGTATCAGTACAAAATGACAAACAAATTTGAGCCAGTTTTGCTGTCTTAACACAAGATTGGCAAGACTGCGTTGCATGTCTTCCACATTTTGTGCAAAATTTTCTCATTTGACCAAATGTTACTTAGAACTGTCGTTCTGGGCCAGTTTTCTGTTTTAACTCAAAATTGAGAAAAACTATAATTAAAGGTAGAAAGACCGGACACTTGTCATCACTGGAATGACAGATTTAGAACTCGTCGTGTGGAAACAATATACAGGTCACAAAAGATTGGAAAGTAAGTGTTGAAAGACTTTTAAGTCAGATCTCTTATAATTTTTGCACAAAATAGGGCTGCATATGGATGCAACAGTTTGTTCATGCAGCTGGTAACTGTAATTCAACAAAAGGATGGATATGGGGGGCGTCATTGTACTCGATATGACTTTTAGTGATTATCGTCGACGGGTTACCAGTAACTGCTTGTTGTTCCCACTGTAGTAGTCAGTATTATTGGCTGAACAAAATCCAATCTCATACCCTAAAATTCTGAAAATTCGCCCCCTCCCCCCCTCTATTCATAAGCTTCTCCAAACGTAAGCCCCCTAATTGGAAACTCAAGAAAGCCTCCTGTAATGAGCCATTTCTTATACAAGCCCACGAGGGCTTATATTTGGAAATTATTTTCATCTAAAAACTTAACACTATATACCATATTGGAACTTTACGAGATAAGCCCGACGTGACTTCTCACACGTTAGATTTCTATAAACTATAAACTACGGTGTGAATGGAGATGTTTCTTGGTGTTGCGGACGCTATTAAACACTTAGAGTTAGTGTGGGAAGCAAGCCATAATTATGTGTTCCAATTATATATTTTTTGTAATCAAGAGTGTCTCCACTGATTTTGGTAATAAAGTGTGTGTTTTGTTGTTGTTGTTGTTGTTGTTGTTAAGCCAGATAAAAATGGTCCTTAGGGGCCACTCTACTGTTCCGTATCTGGTAAACAAGTCCGGATCCTTAGACGTCAATGTGTATACTCAAAGAAACCTTCGACATTATCGCCGTCACAAAGATGCATTTGGATGAAAATAAACAATACACTCCGCAGATCTCTTCAGAAGTAGCTAACTGTCGTGAGTCGTGAGTCATGGCTAGTGTACCATTTTATATGTTCAAGCATAATTTGCACAATCGTGGAATTCAGTGCCTAGTGGTTCCTGGATTCAATTCGTCTCTATTAAATTAAACGATTTTGCGATGTATTGACAGAACCTTACACCCACGACCCACAACAATTAGCTACTCCCGAGGTTTATAACTGACCAGTCGTCTTTTGTACAAAGTGAACACGATGTAAACAGTCGATTTGTTTCTAAGCACCCTTGGCAGACAACGAGAACGGTAAAACTATTTAACTTTTGCCTGAACTAAGGTTTTTGAAAACTATGTTTGCCTCGCAGAAGTCCAACATAGCCGAAACATCTCTTGTTCCTTAAGAAATTCATCTATGAAAGCTCGTAAGGCTTACTTTTAGTTTAGCTCATAATTAGCTTAACTGAGTTTCTCACCATGTTCCATGAAAGGATCAAGTTAAGTGGAGCGCA